TATTAAAGGGAGCTGGCTGTATGAAATTTAACCAGTTTATTTTATTAATATATCTATCAGGTGCGTTGTTGTTTCAGTAGTAGAACGTTTGCCAGCCACCATGATGAGGTTAGGGGTTCGAATTCCAGCCGACTCACTCCTAAACCTCTCTAAGCCGGTAGTAGTGCAACGACAGAAGGCAAGGGCCAGGCAACAGATTGTTTATTCAGGAAATCAACACATATTTATAGATTTTCATGTACATTATTATTATAGATTATTGTTAGCAGAAAAACACAGTCTTCTGATTGGTCGTTTCTCACTAAAAGTTAATCTTTTATCTCTTTGTGTCTGTTTCTTGAATGTCTGATCATCTATATGCTAACTGTATCTGCCTTCGCAAAGTCTGCTGTGGTTGGTTGTTGAAACAGTCTTTGTTCACGACCAATATTGTGGACGTAAACATTGGCGTAAATTACTGTCTACCAATTTGGCTAGCAGCCAGCTCTCACCACAGTAGGACAGGAAAAGAGAGGAGATTGGGCTTAAGGCAAGCAACCTCAATCCGTAAAAATTAACATCACCACTACCGAAACCTGAAAGCACTAGCTTGAGACCCCATGTTTCACTGAGAGCGTAACGGAACAATAAAGTATCTATCAATTATCAAGTGTGAATATGATTTTTTTCTATCTTCTTGATTTGCATTTTTAATTTCAACAAACAAGTAAAGTTTTAATATCATTTATATCAATGAGAAATAAATAAGCGAATAACTGAGTGAAAGTTAAAATATATTCAAACTCATGCACCGAAATATAAATGTGGAATAAGGCAAAAAACAGTGTCTCAGCTCAAATTGTCAGGTTGCCTATCCATTAGTCTTGTAACCAGAGGTTCTTGGTATTCTTAATACCCTAACCAGATAGGTTACAACTCTCTATACGGCTCAAAGATATCATAGATTGATAACATACTTCTGTCTGACCACCTTCAACTCTATGCCAATGTAAATTTTAATATCAATAGATTACATTTCCTGTTGAAGTAGTGGGGAGGTGGTTGGTTAGACTGATTGTTACTCTCTGCTTCCCCTCACACACACACACCCAACCCCAACTAACTATTCACAGTAGACCTTCTGATTGAAATTCTACTGTGACTTGAATTTTTATCTCAACTTCTAATGTCAATAATAAGAATTCATCTATGATGTACAGTCTGCCTCAAATAGTCTCAGTAGTAATAATAATAATAGTTTTGTAATACTTCTATGATAGCAGATATCAAGGGTGAATAATTAACTTAATCACCTAAAAATATCATAAAACTTAAAAGTTATTTATTTTTTCCAAGTGATGGTTTTTTTATTAAAAATTTATTTCCTGTATCTCAATTATTTAAGTACATGAAATGCTAAATTTGTAAAGTAATGAGTACACGTCAAATTAGTTGAAGCGAAATATAAGCGCAGGTGCGCGCATACAATACCTACTTAAGTAAATATTATGAAGTTTCTTATCAATCATTTAACTGACAAGTAAATACAGATATTCACAGATAGAGGTGTACTTATATAACAACTATGATTTTTTGAGCTATATTGAAATTACTTGTTTCTTTTTAAAGAGAAGTTGTGATTCAATAGAGAGTTTTCAACAACTTTAGGAGGTGCGGAGGCGGTAGGGGGAACATACTTACGCTGATGTCGGGATACACACACACATACTCACATAGGCACAAACATTTTCATCCGTCGCTGAAATTTTCATTTCATTTTGAATGATAAAATATTTTACTGACTTTGCGTAACTTCACTTCAGAGCTGTACACTTACTTAGGGAATTTATAAATATATACAATGTAGATTGACAACAGATATCAAATGCTACTGTCACTTAGAGTAAGAAAGTAAATTGAAATGTATGAGTAGTAACGATGTTTGAAAGGTAGGGAATTATCTTACAAGAGGGTTGACAACTAATCAGTTGAGTTGTGAATAGCCCTTTAGAAACAGCTGATAAGAGACAAGAGAAAAGAGGATTGAAAATGGTTTATAAATATAAAAAAAGAACTATATAGAGTTTATTATACAACAATTCAGGAAAGCAAAATCGGTACTAAGGTTAAGGCAGACTGGATGAAACTTTTCTGAATGCGAAGCTCAATTTTTCCCCACATGGATTGCTAAAGCTTCAGCTACATGAGGAAGATGTAGGCGAAATCCTTCTGAACGCCTTGATCATACTTTACACATATATATAACTTTGAGTGACGCGTCTGCTGATGCTGCGTGACTAGATGTAATAACTTTTTCAAGAATCGAGCTGTTGATGTCGGCTCATGGTGAAATCCTCCATGCAATCAAACAAAAAAATCCTATAAAAACCAATTTCTGAAAATTCATCTGATGCTCACTGGTGACTGGCCCTATTCAGGCAGTTAACCCGGGGTTCTAGTGGGAAGTCGTGACCAGTAGGGTACAGCAGGTCGAAGATGAGGCAGTAACTCATCGAAGAAGACATTGCGAAATGGTCGCGCTATGTCGTGAATTCACAGAAGTTAGAATTCATGAGCTGGCCATTCGATCGGCTTCCTCTGGTTCAATGGTCTGCGAGGTCGCTAGCCTTGTAACCAGAAGGTCCTGGGTTCGAACCCTTGCGGTGGGTACGTACTGCTGAAGAGTCCCAAATCAGTGTGGCGAAACGGCCGTCCAGTACTCCCAGGTTTTCCAGTGGTTCTCTAACTGATGTCAGCTTATGATGAAATCCTCCATGCAATCAAACAAAAAAAACCCTAAAAAACAAATACCTGAATATTCTTAGTTCTCTTTTTGACATTCATGGGCACCTCTAGACAATGTCCTGCAAGTACAGCCTACTTACTTAGCTCCACAAGAGCAGGTGAACCGGTAAATACACAGAAGGATCTTGTCTTTGACGTTTTGGTGAATAAGAACATGTGTGGAGAAGGTGTGGTATAGAAATGTAGTGGAGAAGGTTCTCCGAATATTTTTTGACAGACGGCTTCAAAGAACCTCACTAATTATACCTCTCTTGGATTCCATATCTACAATCGGTTATTTCTTTGGCTCACCTAGGTTCTAAGGAGTATCGATCTTCCTCGTTAGACGTTTGTTGATGAAGGAGGTTTGATATTCATTTTTGGTTAGAATTTTTCGGAAGGATTCTAATTTTTTATTTATTGTGTCTTCATGTACGGCAGATTGTTTTTGCAACAGTACATTGACGTGCAGTTCAGTCGATACCCGATTGGTAGGTGATACCATGATGTGGTAGTTGACACAACGAGCTACACTGTAGGTCCTACTATACCTTAAAATCTACTTGGGTAGTAGTTAGACTGAAGGCTGTTATCACCATAATGTGTAAGTATGTAACACTATGTTGAGGATCTGAAAGTGAAGTCGTAGTGTTGGGTGAATAGACATATGGCACCAGTAAGGTGTTGCAATATGACGACCAGCTTTGTTGCCTCTTTGTTCGGAGGAGAGGGATAAGAATAAGATGGCTAAGGCGACTTTACATCCCAACTTACCTGATAGTAGTTCTTAGCTGGTAGTAAGATGTTATTACCGGCCTAATTCCAAAAAACCAACTCAAATAGACCATATGTAACCGGCCTCAAGTAGTTGTCCTCTAGACTCCTCGTTGACGGAAGACTAGTGCTCTTTCTCAATCAGATATTCCAAGAAATCAATTTCTATGTGGTGAGCAGCCAGGAAGTGATAACACCTGACACACTTCCGGAAGCATACAAGGCTCCGGATCGTTCTTAGTGACGTTGATGCATTCACCAACAGATCCACTAAATCATCATTATTCTCCACATACTTATTCTTTCTTCCATACTCTTCTTTTGGTTTTTGGCGTATTTTTTATTATTACTTGACCCCTTACAGTATTTTTGATACAAATATGAAATTTTCAGCATGTGATATCGGTAGCCCAGATTTAGCAGGCCGACCATCGATATCACGTATTCGTCAGCGGGGATCGAACCTCGGACCATGTGCATGGTCGGCGAGAGTCCTAACCGCTGTACCACTGAAAGAAAAAAACATTATATATAAAAATATATATGTATATACCTTGTTGAGTCAACATTCATAGATATTGGTATTGTAAATACCCAGTTCACCAATACTTTGATAAAGCTGTTGGTTGCATTACAAAGGGAAATATTAGCATGAATTATCTTTATTTACCGTTTATTGGTAGACAGAAATCTCAAAATAATTAATTTCGTTTATCCAATTATTTACTCATATTTGTGGATATCTCGTTGATATTTCTAGAACCAATTATTCACAGCACAGTTTGGCGGATGGGCTCCTCCTGTGATTGTCTCGATACTAGCATGATTGCTAACTTTAGACAAATTTTTGATGGTGCCTATTAGTTGAATCCGGTGAATGATGATGTTCCAACTGAGATTCTTAAACACTGTCAACTGAGCTACCGAGGCTCATGAGTCTCACTGTCACTCACTAACAAGTGCTAAAAGGGATAAAATGCGCGTCCCGAATTCCACAGGTAGCCACCACCAATCATCTGATTTCATTTGTATCCAAATGTCGATAATTCCTCAGATATTAAATCTCAATTTGGTTTACATATGAACTAATGCCAATTTTCCCTAATCTGACTACCCCTTACACTCATTTCTAGTGTAATCTTACCGGAGTGAGCAAAGAATGTCGAGTAAAGGCTGGATCTTGACGTGCAAAGCGGATTTTCTAGCCAACACTGATTTATCTCTCCTATCCAACACTTTATACTTCTTCAGCTTACAGCAAGAATTACAAAATTACTGAATAGCATTAATTCTGTTTTAAATAAGTGTAATTTAAATTTTCTGTAGGAGTAGGGACACTAGCCTTGCATCTCGCCTTTTCTTGTGTTTAAGATCGGTTTGTAAACTAGTGAGACGATTAATTGTTTATTATCCGTCTTCATTTTATCAATGCTTATTTACTCACTGATTTTTCTTACCTTTAGAATTCATAATAAAAGTGTTTATTTGAAAATGGGTTTACGCAAGATGGTGAATCGTACAAAATGTAAAGATTTACATCAAAATATTATTGTTGAAGTTGATGGACGTCAGTTGGATTTACCACCATTAGAAGGTGTTATTATATTAAATATTTTATCATGGGGAGCTGGTGCTAATCCATGGGGTGTTGAAAAAGATGAAGCATTTACAACACCAACACATTTTGATGGACAACTTGAAGTTGTCGGTGTAACAGGTGTTGTACATATGGGTCAAATATTTTCTGGTCTACGCACAGGGATACGTTTAGCACAAGGAGGTCATGTAAGTCGAAGTTATTATTCATTATTATTACTTTTGTTTTTGTTTATATTTTTGTTGTTGTTTTATTTTTTTTTAATGTACGACATTTTGATTTAACATTTGAATGACTTTCCAATGAACTGTTAACGTTTCAATTGATTATGGTAAATTTATACAATTTTCTTATCAAGTACCATACTGGAAATATCTATAAACCTGATTCAATAGCTACAAGGGATTTACAGCAGAGAGCTCAATAAAACCTTTAGAGTGAACATAGTAGTTGGACAAGACTGCGTATTGTTATCGATGATATTCTTGATCTTGGTGGACTGGATTGTACAACAGACCGGTGGGTAGCGAGTAGACACTGGAAGATCTGCCTAACGTCATACAGCCTCGGAGATCTACGGATGAAAATCAACAAAATAACAAAAAGAAGGGAAGGTGGCGAAGACAGAATTTCAAGTGAGCAGAAAGAAGATGGAGGTGATGAAGATACCTAACCAGAAAAATAACAAGCACTAATCACTATCAACGGATGAAGTTTGAAGGGGTCGCCTGTTTCCCTTATCAAGACAACAATGTTTCAACTGCTGAAGACACAGATGAAGACATCCAGGTCACTCAAGGTCGGAAAACCAAGAGAGACTTCCACTATTCCGAAATCAGTGTGTAAATTAGCTGCACTCATCATAAGGAATAAGGTTCAGATCTTCAATACTAATATCAAGTCAGTTCTTCTACTTGGTTCAGAGACTTGGTACTCTAATCATGAAAAGCATTTATGACAAGCTTCAAACTTTTATCAATAGCTGTCTTCCCTTCATACTGAAATTCAGATGGCCGGCTAGAAGTTAAAGGCAATAAAAAAAACTCTGGCAGCAAACCAACTGAAAACTTGTCGCCCTAAAATAGATGCAGAATGAAATGGAGGTGAATCGAACCTACGTTTTGAAGACCATTGAATGACATCCCATACAGGCAAGATAGCGAGTGGAATCCAGATGGGCAGAGACTAGTTGGACGTGTGTATCCAAGAGCAATGTGTACAGATCGTTTGAACAGCAAATGAAAGCTTACGGACAATTGTACAGTCAATCAGTGGAAAGTGATCTCAGAAAATTGGATGCAGTCAAGATGTGCCACTAAGGCCTTGTATTCCACTTGGAATATCACAAAAGAGTAATCATGTAATTGATACCAAGTGATGCATTATACAAAGTAATTTGAGCGTTATTAAATCGTAGAAAGTATGCCGATGGAAAGAAAAGAAAAACTCAAGTACATGCTAACGGATATATAAAGTTAATGTGATACTTTCGACTATGACATCATAACAAATGTCAACTATTGGTGTCACCTTGTAGACTAATTACCGTTCGCCTCTTCTAGAATTCTTCGCACCACAAGCGAACAGTAAAACCAGCAGGACATTTTAAACGCATTTTGGAACTTATAAAGTTGTCCCCTCTGACTAGTATGTTCACTTGTGAAGCTTTCATAGTCCTTTCCAGACAATATCTTCATGGTTAATTTCAAATTGTATACACTTTCCAGTTCAAAGATTACAATAACACTAAGAAATTTCAAAATGTTTTGCAAAGTTAAAGGAGATAGCAGGACTAATTCAACTGATAACGAGAGCAAATAGAACTGAATTTTCTATGCCGTACTTTTCAATAAAGCGTAGCAGTGCAGGTTACCACACATTATCAAAGCACACATGAAGACTGAGAAAACACGGGAATACAAATAAACTATAGTAAATGAAGTTGAAGGAAAGAAAGAATAATTTCATGGGAAATAATGAAAATCCAAAGGATCTGAGCGTTCAAAAGAGTGAATGTATGAATGACTTTGAGCCTTGTTGATAATAATCTCTAGCCATTAGTTCTTGGCGTCACAAGGAATCCAGTCAGGTATTCTTCTTCTCCCTACGTGACTGAAACCAACAGTGAAAAATTCATTGGATTGGCGCGGTGTATTTGTTTGACAAACCCTAGTTCTTTTCCAAACTAATCCTATTTCAGCTACCATTGCTCAATCAGGAACTCCGCAGCTTGAAGTGTATATTACTTGTCCTAGCTATTTCAATCGATCAATCTTGACAATCTCATTGACTGGCTTACCCTCATTACAGCACACTCTACACCAACTTGTATCACATAACACAAGGAATTTCTAACGGAATTCTATAATGGGAAATTTTTGTCGCCTTGTACATTTCTATGCCTAGTCGTGAAGTTTATGTTGTAAAGATATATGTAGTGATATTGACAGGTTATGTTTTGCCCTAGAGATAAATTTAGGGAGAGACGTTACAGAGATAATATTATCAGAGTTCACTAGATGTTCAGTTCAGCTGTTGTGTTCCATTAATGGGTGTAAGACCACTATCATCTGCAATTATGAAGTCTTTTCCTTTAAAACGACCTGCTAAAATCATAACTTATCCCGAATAGCTCAGTGTCAACTTGTCAAACTGCACCACATACATACTACTGTTTTCGACATAGAACTTTGCACAAATGTGCGGAAGTTCAAGTCGCCACATTCCGTGTAGCACGCGAAGCAAGAGAAGAAAGTACAAGAAAAGCATAATAGAAACAGTGAGCAGAGGTGTGAGACAAAGGAGTAATAAAGAAATACAAAACAGTTTCATTGAAGATCATAAGTCACAGGGAGTGGATGCATCTGCGCCACTGAGAACGGTTTTGAGCCATGTCACCAATTGTTTCCAACCATAGATTTTTACCGTCCCGAGGACCCCAGCCTGGAAGTCTACACCTTTCTACGTGGCTTAGACCAACTGTTGTGGATTTCATTGACTGATGCCAAGTTTTTGTTTGACCGCCGCTAGCTTTTTTCCAGCCTGACCCTATATCCGCTAACATGCTCGTCGAGGGAGGCGATGGTTGGCATACGTAACACATGTCCTAACCATCTCAGTCTTTGTAGCTTCACGACTTCGTCGATTGATTTCCCCTGTTTACCTAGAACTCTACGCCTAACCTCCATGTTGCTCACCTTATTATGCCACTTTACACGGGAAATAGAACGCAGGCACCTATGATCAAAGACAGCTAGCTTTTCATGTCTTCCACTCTCAGTGGCCAGGTCTCACAACCATAAAGGAGGACGGAGCGGACTGATGAGCAGTACACCCGCCCTTTGGTCGATAGTCGAACATCTCGTCTACGCCAGAGTCGGCGTAAACTAACAAATGCGAAACGAGCCCCTTGTATTCGTGCTGAGATTTCGTCAGAGATCAGCCCGTTGGGGCTGATGGTACTTCCCAAATAAGTGAAGCGGTCAACGTGCTCTACCACTTCACTTCCTATTTTTAAACTAGGCGTCGATGTAGTCCAGTCCTGTAACATCATCTTGCATTTGGCGGGAGCGAATCGCATGCCAAACATTCGTAGATTGCGGCTCAAGGTGTTTAGAAGACTCTGCATTTCGTCAGCGTCTTCGCCTAGAAGGACTATATCGTCTGCATATTCCAAGTCAACGAGATTATTCCCGGTAGCAAGTCAATCCCTGAGTCGCTGAAGTCACCTAGGGTTAAGTCCATTAACACATCTATGATGAAGTTGAATAGAAAAGGAGATAATGGGCATCCTTGACGGACACCACTGGTCGTCATCAGTTCAGATGACAGCTCGCCGTAAGCCCTCACCTGGCTGTATGAGTACGAGTAGAGTGCCTTAATCAGTGCAATATATTTTCTGGAATTCCCTTTACAGCCAAGCATCTCCAGAGAACTTCCCGATCGACAGAGTCGAATGCTGCCTTTAGGTCAAGAAATATAATGACTGTTGGACGCCGGTAGGAATCCTATGTTCTAGAATCTGTCGGAGGGTGAAGATATGATCAATACACCCTCTTCCTGGTCTAAAGCCTGCCTGGCTCTCTCGTGTTTGTGCTTCCCGAGCACCACTCAGTCTACGCATGATTATTGAGCCTAAGACTTTAGATACTATATTAGTCAAGCTAATCCCTCTGTGATTATCACAGGAAGACTTGTCTCCCTTCTTGTATATCGGGATATACACCACCGGATGATGCGGATTGGATTCTCAGAGGAGACCGTAGTTCCTTCAAGGCTGAAGTTAAGCCTTACTTACAAGTGCTAAGAAACGCGAAACTTAGGTACAGGGCTTTCTACCTACTGCTTCCAACCATCTTACATTAATTAAAAGTTCACTACGATGATGAGCCACCTAGCTTGGTGACAACATTGGATATCTGACTGATAGAATTCAGTCTAAACCAACACTGAGCATTAGACGCATGACACTGGTTACTGTTTTGTGACCAATCAATGTATTCACCTCATCTGTACTGCAAGAATCTCTAACCATCGACACAGAGAAGCCTGAGTACAGTATGTAGAAGCATAGTCAACCAGTCCCTCTTTTCTGGTATCTTAATCTGTTTGTATGTTAAACTTATGAACATAGTAAATAGAAACAAGAATATATAAAAATAAATGTATGTGTATTGTTCCGTGAATTGACAATAAATCACCCCCATTTTAATTTCGGAACGGCATATTACTAATTAAGATTTATCCTTAAAATATGTTTACAATTAAAATAAAAAAGAAAATAAGATTGAAAACAAGCTGTTTTACGTGATGATATTGTTGTTTATGAAAAAATTTAAACATTTTCTATTCCCTCACGTTCCCAGTGGAACATAGGGCTTCAAGCTAGAGACTTGAAGATTCTCTAACAGTGTTTGTTTTTACAGGATTGGGTTGCTAGCCTCATGCCCAACATTTCCTCTTAATCGGCTTTATATCTGGCTTAGCGAGGCAAAGGAGTGCGTCAGTGGTCGGCGATTGAGCCCCGGACCATATGCATGGTCGGCGAGCACCTAACCATTGCGCCACCGACGTAAATAAGATCTAACAGTGTGAAATGTTCTCATATCATGAAATGAAAGTTAATCTGGACGAAGAATATTCTTTTCAATAATTTCTCTTCAATTTTTCTGGCAATTATAAAATATAATATTTGTTTGTGTTACAATAATGACCAGTTATGCGGCGTAGAATAACAGATTAGTTATGGGGTGTCAAAATAAATAGTATTTGTGTGATTACAAAGTATTGTAAAATGGGAGACAATGGTGGTGATTAATCATAATAGGTTTGTAGAGTGTGGGGTAGGAAGACTGACAAGTCAATTCAAGGTTATAAAATGTGTCAGGTGAGTGGCTAGTACAAAGTGGTATGTGTTCTAAATACAGTGAATGTGTCACCCAAATACCCCCACCATACTTTTGGGGTTAGGCTGAACATTTCAATTGCTATGTTTTTCCACCTATCCATGAATATATCTGCCACAACTGGGTATATTGGTGACCCCATGGCAACTCCCTTGTATTGTACAGTTAATTGACACTTCTTCCTACTTTTCCATTCACACTCTTGTGTGACAGTTAATTTCCCTTGTAAGAAAATACACGTATCCATTCGTGAATGTGAGGGTCTTCTGATTTTCCTCTTCGGGTCAGGGCAAATTAACTACTAAGCAATACCAGTCGTTATGTTATCGTCCGTTATATCTTGTTAGCCATAATTACAATCGGTCACATCATAACATTTCCTAATTTAAATTCCATTGACACTATGAACAGATTTATATATTTTTTTTTTTATATTTTTGGTTACAGCTTGATTCCACACTGTATTTTTGGTACAAGTATGGAATTTTCAGCGTGAATATCGGTAGCCCAAATTTCGCAGGCCGACCATAGATATCAGGTGTGCGTCGGCGTGGGCTCGAACCCCGGACCATGTGCATGGTTGGCGAGAGTCCTAACCACTGTGCCACCGACGCACATAGTGAGCATAGTGATGAGAAACATATTGATAAGAACAATCGTAGTAAATAACTTTTAGATGTAATAGGTGTAATAGTGATCCGATGATAAAATGTTTTTGGGTATAAACTCAAGACACCATATATTGCTGTTTAAGACTACTGTTATTATTATTGCTCATTCCTTGTGTTCCGAGTGGAGCCCGAGGAACTCAGCTCTTTTCTATCCCTTTCAACTGCCTCTACAATTATCCATAAGCTTACTTCTCTTCCACATAAAATTCCCTCTATGTCAACTTTGGACACACGTCGAAGTCATTGCTTTCTACTAGGATTCCACTCGATGGCCTACTTGGAGTGTGATTTCACTGATAAGTCTCTTTAGCATATTTCCAATCCAGCTCCATTTCCGTTTGTTGGAGTCTATATTTTTTATGACCAAACCAATTTGTTTTTGTCTGAACTCAGGAAACCTGTCCGTACATCACGATGTATATCCGGCAAAACCTTCTTGAGACAGGCACAGTCACCAAATGTTCCAAAGACTACAAAAAGACTCACCTCCATAAACAAGATAAAATCAAATCTCAAAATTACCTCAACAGTGCTGTTAGTCAGTCAGACAATCAAGAGAGCATTCTAAGTAAATAAACACTGTAAAACAAAATTAGTCAACTGACACTCAACTTCATAAAGTACCTATGAATCAAGTAGAATATTTCCAACGAGGTGGGATCAAATACTGTGTCCATAAGAATCACACACCAACTGTTCCCGTAGACACTCCAATATCAGAATGACCATCATTCACTCAAACAAAATCGCCGTTGTAAAACAAGACATTATCAACGTCATCATGGAACCACAAATAGAAATACTAGACTTAGAGATTAATCAACTACAAAGAAATTTACTTGGAACATCGAAGTAGGTATGAATATCCTGATCAGATCATTGAGGAGAGATTTCCCAAACAATCATTCTGTCAAGTAACTTAACCCCTCAGTTCGTATTACTGCAAAGACGCTCCGAACCGATAATTACTATGTACTTTCCTCGACTTTAAATCCAAAACACCAGTATTCCTTCTCAAAGTTATATTGTTTGGCAATTAAAGTGAAGATTAATACAAGTCTATAAGCAAGTGTTTTACACAAAAATACAGTGTACTTTTATTCGTATGCTTTCGTCTTCTTTCAACTTGTACATGGCTGAACCATTCGTGCCTTCGAGTTGCCCGCCAATGACGACCCAAGGCCAATGAACCAACGTTCAATGTTCAAGTTCATTTTTACACATTCCGTTACATATGACTAAACCATATACGAGTTGTTATTGTTTTGCCTATCTTATTATTCTATCCTTTAAGTATTGTATTAATTTCCCTATGCATACTATCATTTATAAATGTTTCTGAACTATAATTCTACTAATCTTATCATCGGTGTTTTGAGTTATTCGTCTGATGAAGAAGTTATCCAAAACGAACATTCCTTGTTCAGTCTACATACTGTTTGCATGCTAATAATTTATACAACTTTGATGTCATACTTATTTATTTTTTACAGATACGTATCACGGTGAAATGTGATATTCCAGTACAAGTTGATGGTGAACCATGGATTCAACCACCTGGTCAAATTATTGTTTTACGCTCTGCGTTAAAGGTAAGTGATGAAGTCACTTTCTATTATTGATGTGATTTTGATTTACAGCTTGATTCCCCACCGTATTTTTGGTACAAGTATGGAATTTTCAGCATGGATACCGGTAGCCCAAATTTTGCAGGCCAACCATAGATATCAGGTGTGCGTCGGTGCGGGCTCGAACCCGGACCATGTGCATGGTCGGCGAGAGTCCTAACCACTGTGCCACCGACGCACAAGAATTATGTATTTCACCCCTCTAATACATTTGAAAATAGTAAGAAGACAATTATTGGAAGAGTGATAATTAAATGAATTCATTTTAATTCGTTTCCTGTCTTTACTTGTGTAGTGTTTATTAAGCAAAATTATGGTAACATTTTCTAACTTTATTTAGTTTTCAAGTGTTAACCTGCAGGGATTCGATTGATTTCAGTTCAGACTTACGAGTTGACATCAGTTAGACCGCAACCATTTCATCCTTGTTGGGTGCTGTTCATCGGTATTCACCCATTGCCCCTCTATGTATGCAGCCCAGGATCTTTAGGTCACTTAGCTAACCGGATGACCATTGAACAACTGGGGCGGAATTCAATGACCCATTGTGTCAATTCGTCATTTAGCCTTACCATCAACCAATGCCATTGATGGGTGTTCACTTCCCACTGACATCGTAGATTCCATCGGCTATGACTGCGCCAGTACAAATTTAGGGCGTCGACCCAGTAGCCGTCAGTGAGCTGAAGACGGCTATTTAGATAATGGGTTTCGTAGACATTCAAAATACTTTCACTGTAGATTTCATCATCAACTGATATCACTTAGGGAATCATTGAAAATCAGAGAGATGCTCCGGACAGCTGTTTAGCTCTGGTTTAGTACTCTTTGAAAGTTCACACCCGTGACTTTAGAAGAGGTCCAACCCGAGACCTTCGGGTAATAAGGCCAAGCTCGTTGACCACTTGTCCACCATGGGTGGAATACGATCTCCCATAATTTTTAAATTAATTTGTTAAAGATTTATTATTCACTGGAGTAGACGCATATTAAAGGTAGTTGAATAGGAAAGAGAAATAAATACAAGGAGCCCGTAGTAAAAGTGTACAAGATTAGGTAGCTAGCCAGAAAGAGCTAACAACAAGAAAATCTGGGAACGAGCCAATCAAGGACCTATTCCCCAAAAAATATTTCGAAGAAAATGGAGCTGAAGAGAACGCACGCTCAAGAGGGCTTTGGGTGGTATAGGGTGCTTGGCCCTCGGTTGAGGCCAGAAAACGAAGCGACAAGTTGTACTTTCGTTCTGGATAATATGGAAGAAATCGTGTGAGGATAAGTTAAAAGCTTGTCGGGGATCGTAGGCCAGCTAAAGGGGGTCTGTAGAGCACCGAACAAAGTAGAGATGTGCTGTTTAAGCCCTACGCTACATCTGAAACTCGAGGGAATATGAATGATGTCATAACGAGATTTTACGCTTTAGTTTTTTTTATTTACTTATAACCACATGGTGTTTTTCTTTTTGATTTTAATTATTCTAGGCTACCATGTTGAAAAAGCGTAAACGACGTAAAGTTAACCGTCGACATACAGAACCAGGTTTAGGTGGATCTGGAAGTCCAGGTGCAACTGGTCCTAATCCTATAGATGGTAGTACAGAAGATCCTTTAAGTAGTGCTGTCTTCGGTGCAAGTGGTCCACCGCTACCGCCTGAAAGTGCCAACTCTTTAGGATCAGGAAATCCATGTGCCAGGCAATTAGAAAGTGATATTGCTGAAATTGACTTAGAAGAACAAGTTACACATGAATCATACCTTCCAAGGGATTTGAGTGCTGTTAACACAGCTGACTCCTATCCTAGACTTTATAGACCAGGTCGACCAATTTATTCTAAACGCAGAGGACGTCGTCTACCTAAGCCTGTTCTAGTCGCTGTTCCATCAGCTCCATCAGAAACATGTCGACTGCCAAGAGAAATACTTGATAGTGATGATTTCGAAGAAACTTCCGCCTTATGTCTTTCTACATCGACACGATTAAAACAGACACCGATTAATATGCATTCGCTAACATCAGATCAACACTCACCTGTTGGTGCTGCTGGTACTTCTACCCAACGTGCTAAAACTTCCACAACAACTTCAGCTTCAATGAGTGAATCAGGCTCACCAACTGAAAAGAAAGAATTAGAATAATATTTTCATCAATATATTTTGTGTTGTATTTTCTTTCTTCTTCAATTAATTCGAGTAAGTCAAACCAATGTGTTTTATCTTTATATATGTATTATTTTTCTTTTCAACTGAATTAAAACTGTCATCGAAACGCCTATACTTCATTTTAGATGCCAGGTATTTCATCAGTGTTAACTTCGATGTTATATATTTAGTGACAATCAACATGTGAAGCCTTGGACATAGGTTTCATGGTTGCTAGCATTCGTCAGCAACCTCGAGGAAACAGGCATCCCCATTGGAGTAGGAACTCTTTCACCCAGTTATTCAGTTAGAGGCGTTACCAATGAGCTGATCCAGCGCACTGTTGACCTTCTGTAGGAACATAGAGTAGCCAGTGTCATATGTCTAGTCCTTGGTGTGTGGGCGGGTAGGCTTAATTTCATCAATGAAGTTTGTAACTTCATCAGCAAGTCAGGTGGTTTGCCTAGCCGTGCTAGATAGTCGGAGCTGATTGGCACGAAGCTTTGGAGCTTATTTTCGTGCTACTGCCTAGTGACTAATCAATATATATCCACCGCAGTCTTTATTTTATTAATTTTATTCTTTTACTTTCCGAGTGGCACATAGGGTTTCAGGTTTTGAGCTTTGAATTTTCAGTAGCGTTGATGTTTATTTTTCACTAAGTAGGTTGATCGCTTCACCTCCAACATTCTGTCTTTGATAGACTTATTATCATTTAATGGAGGGTTAGGAGTACGTCGGCTGAGATCAGATTGCGGACCACGCTCATAGTTGGCGAGTATTCTACAAACAGCCTGCTTAAATCACTGGGCTACGAGAATTCCCCTCCATCAAAATGTTTAAAATTTTCTTTGTTTCTCATTGTTTACAGTATGCAGTTATATCATATGATCGCAACAAGGAACTGGCGTGCATATTTAATTAGCTTCCAACTAAACTCTATTCAATACTTGAAAGTGAAGAGAAAACTTACTGAATTAGTTCTCTCTTCGAATGCAACAACACTGTGTCACTTGATGTAATCCAGATTTCTGTATTGCGTTTACATATTTAAATTGAACTACTGACGCACTACTGCAATCCCACAAGAGGGTGAATCGTGAACCTGGAGAGTTCACTTGTAACACCTCTGACTATATTGCTGGGTGATGCGGGTTCGATTCTCTGGTGGGGGTACATCAGTTCCTTCACGGTCACAGATACATCTTGATGACGAGTGCAAACAAACAAGAAACCTAGGTGCGGATGATCCTACCAATCGCCTGTAACCATCTGACAGCAATTCACAGTATACAATCATAGTGAGTCGCCTAACTCGGTGATCACATTGCAAACATGATTGATCGAATTTAGCCTCCATTAACATCAAGGATTGGATTCGGGACATTGGTCACATAGTAGTGATCAATAGTGTAGTATTATTATTGTCCTGCAAAAGGATATCCTCTAATATCTGATGTCAGTATTGTAACTGGATATTTTGTTTAGTAGGGCCGTATAAACAAAATATGTGCTCAAAATAGTCAGATGAGCTGTAATTGCTAGAAAAACTTTTATAATTTTTCCATTTCGCGCGATTGTAATAGGTTGGTAAACATTACAGCTTAGAAACAATGTAAATTTCCTCTCGAAATCCTGGAAGAAGCAGACGTTCAACCCTCCAAAGATCTCAGTTCAAAACTCTTCTGAATTGTTCACTTAGAAACTTCACTTCAGGGACTACAACCAGAATCTTCAGGTTAGAAGCTCAGTTCATTGACGGTTGCATTAGTGTTCAATGTATCGTGAATTGTAACTTCTGTCTTTCCTGAACTAGGATAAAACAGCTGTCCACTTCTCCCTGGTTTTCAATAGTTCACTAACTGATGTCTGTTCGTGAAATATCTACGTTGAAATTGAGTGAAATGCAAAGTAAAAACGCAAAACTTGAATGTAATTAAGTTGTTTGCGTTCTCCTAGGTTCTCCTTGCTACCGAAGATTGTGGATTTGATTACTGGTGGGATCATGGGTACGTACTGCTGAAGAGTCTCAAGGTAGGACGGCGAAACTATCAAGCACACCCTATTTTCAATGGTTCTTTCATTAATGTCAATCTTCAATCTGTTTTGTGCGTCGTTGATTCAGTGATGAAATGCTTGCCAACCACTTCATTGTTTCCGGATTTGATTTCTGGCCAACAAACTCCCAACCATCGCCTACTTTATTGGTTGATATTAAGCCTAGAAAATGGGGGGAGGTTAGGTGTGAGGCTAGCAGCCCCATTGCTTAAGAAGACACCATGGCTACGGAAACTTCAAGGATTCAAGTCTTGAAACTCTGTCTTTCACTCGGAACGCAGAGGACTTAAAAAAAGCACAATTTGTATTACATAGCTAAACTGATTGATAGATGAAGACAGACATACGGAAATATAGACATATTAATTCACTGTGCTTTTCATTCATGTTAATCAAAATGACTAATATTCAAACTGTGATTGTGGTGTTTTAAATAAAATAAATGGTAATTAATAAATGTCTATAGAGCTAGATTTTTTCTTTCACAGTATTCTACCTAGACCTCACTTACCTATGAGGGAATTATTCTTTCCGTAACTTCACTTCTAAGCTGTACAGTTGTATACTGTTGTAAAAGTCGTGGAAATGCCTTTAATGAAGCTAATTGTTCTTACCAATTTAAAAAATTTATATTTATCATATGTTCCTCGGGTTTCAAGCAGAATATAGAGCTTTAACAGGACATCAGTAGTTCACTCTGTTCTCTGAAGTCGTTTTCAGCTGTCTTACCAACTACATCTAGGTTCTTTTTCATTTTCTCCTCACACAATCTCAACCTTGTCACCACCAACAGACACCCAATTCGTCTATTCCTATCCAGGCTCCACTCAAAGATCTGTCTGATGCGTCATGTCACACAACAGTCTTCTCAGAGAATGCCCAGTACCTCTTCATTTTCTTCCACATATTTATTGAACAATAGGTTCTCGGTTGGTTTGTCACTAGTTAGAAATTTTAGTAGGATTCGTCATCTTTTTGCTCTACAACAACAAACATGTGCAGAAATCTTGACTTTGAGTGTCTTTTATCGAAAAGTAAGTTTTTTTCCCAGTTCCCTAATTCTTCTCAAGTTTGATTGATTTAAAAGCCAGTATAATGCTGACCACAAAAGTACTACTATCATTTGTTCTTCGCTTACCATGCTCTTCGTGCTATTGGAGTTACGCAAGCTTTATGGTTCCCAGTGAAAATTTATTTCTATCCAAAAGTTTTCAATTCTGTTTCTCTTTTTCTCAGGATTTTTTACCAGTTCATAATTTAACTGCCTACTTATTTTGGAGAGATGTTACTTGTAGCTTATATATTAATAACTTGCTTTTCAAGATGTTAAAAGTATGTTCAGGTCGTGGTTTACAATTGATAGTTATTTTAACAGTAGCGGAATGCCCCTCAACTATACATGCCCCCACGTGGTCCGAGTTCGATCCGCAGCTCCATTCACTTCTCCCTAACCTCACCTAGCTCAGTAGTAAGGCCGGCTAGTAACTGAACTCCGTTAATCAACACTTTTACTGAAACTTCAAAGCTTAATGCCTGAACTCAAAACTCAAAGGGATTGGAAAAGAAACTAATTTAGTATTGAGAAAATATTCATTCAGATATTTATAAAACACAAAATAATTGAGCAAAGAATATCCTTTTCGACAATTTCCTCTTCTGGCTCTACAATTATACATATATATGTTCATATACATAGAATATTCTAGATTAATAGTCAATAACAATATTAGTGTTTTCTAAATAATATCGACTGGTAAAGTATGATCAACGCAATTACAGTCCATTAAAGATGCTTAAATAATAATAATAATAAAGATATAATAGCGTATAGAATATCAACCAAAATTACGAAAATTCATGATCATTCAAACCCAGATGGCCAAGGTAAGGATAATGTCTGAACTAACTCCTTTTGGACACATAAATTAGACTTCTTAATGTGGGTCCCAACGTCTTCAACAATATTTAGTAAACGAACTCTTAAGGTGAAGTTAAGATTTGTTGGTATGCGGTGAATAACCCTGAAAGCCTGGTTAACATCAATCTTGTGTTCTGTATCCACAAGATGAGATAGGTTAGCGCTCCGAATAGATTTTGTTTGTCCTTTGCTTAACCGCACAAGGTGATGTTTGGAAATTCGACCAGAAATACTCCTAATTGTAAGGCCTATGTAACTGGCACGCTGCACAAGAGCAGTTAAATTGCCAACCAGAATTACTTTAATATCGTTTAGAGAAAGAATCCTACCCCCTATTTTCTAATCGATGGTCGTTTTACTTTTCTCATTCTTTTTTTGTTTTTTTCCTTACAGCTTTTTCAAACGACAAAATACATTCCATTCTTCAAAATAGTCACAATAGTAATAATAATAAGATTAATTACAGTAATACTACTACTACTAATAATAATAATCATGACAGTAATGATTTTTCAAAAAGTTTGTTTTCGGAGGGCGGTGGGGTGGGATTGGAATAACTCTTAGAAGGATTTTTTCCTCAATTTCACGCACACACACACATACACACACACACGGAGAGAGTACCTAGATTCTAGCTTGAAAACCAAAGAAACCAAGGATGAATGACAAGCGAATTCACACAAAAAACAAGTTAAATAAACACTATGTATACACATACAT